CAGCCAAAAAGTTGCAAATATTGCATTGAAGATGAGGATAACAGCCCGAATATTGTAAATGATGTAAGTCTTCATAATACATCATCTCAGAGATATAGAGGCCGATATGTTGTGAATATGGCAATGAAGATGAGTATAACAGCCCGAATAATGTAAATAATGTAAGTAATCCTAATACTCCATCGATATAGAGATATAGACACGTATCGAATCAGGATTGTCAAAGATCAAACACAAAATATATATATATATATATATATATATATATATATATATATATAATTCAAAATAAAGGGAACGTCTACTCAAATATGAGTATCCACTAAAAATAACGTTTAAACTGACAAAATATAATAAAAAATCAATTTGACCATGGATCAAGCATTTAACTTCACATTATTTGAAACAAGCAAACCGTGCACTAAGCGTCTAGCCTCACACAATATAGAACGTGTAAACTATGGATCAAGCATATATCTTCGTCAACATTAAAATGCACATACATTTACGTTCATATAATTTGAAACAAAAATCTTATGGCCTCTATCTACGTATAATTTGAAAAAAGAAAACATTGTTTACTATTTACATTATTCGTACTATTGTCCTCATCATTGTTGCCATATTTATCACAACGTTTCGGCCGTTGTACGCTCCGGCATTCTTCAGGTGTTTGGAATGTCGAACTGAAGCCTTTATTTCGCTCGCTTGGGTAGACTGTTCTAGTTCCACGTGCCATGTCAAATGGATGTCAGTTATCTGTTATCTCCTGTTAATTTATCTCTCCAAGTTCTCCATTGCCTTAACCAGGTATTGAACTCACAACTCTTTGGCTCCTGTCAGTGGATCTAACTAACGGACACAGGGCACAGTGGATAAAGGCGTTGGTTAGATCCAGTGACAGGACCCAAAAAATGTGAGTTCAATACCTGATTAAGGCAGTGGGGAACTTGGAGAGGGGAATTAACAGGAGATAACTGATAACTGACATCACAAAGTTTCGGTCGTTTTAAGCTCCGGCCTTCTTCAGGGGGTTGGAATGTCGAACAGAAGCATTTATTTCGCTCGCTTGTGTAGATTGTTCTAGTTCCACGTGCCATGTCAAATGGATGTCAGTTATCACAAATCTCCTGTTAATTCACCTCTCCAAGTTTTCCACTGCCTTAACCAGATATCGCCTGTCTACCACCACATAACATGAAACAAAAAATCATAGATCAAATGTCTATCTAGATGTCACTTGAAAACAAAAAAAAACAGATTAAATTTTATTTTTATCTAGGTATAATTTGAAACAGGCAAAGTGCGAATCTATCTTCATATAATTGCCGGCAAAATTTCAACATTTTACAGCTGAAATGTTTAGATGTAATCGTAAATTCTATGTCAAGTTTCGTCTGTTGCCCTTCTTTTCTTGTGAAACTCACTTTATTTATTTTTTATTGCTTCCCAGTCAAATTTGATCTTTAACAATTTAAATGTAATACCAATCGTTATCTTCTGTCTTCTTAAATCTTATTCTTTTATTCTTCTCTCTTCTTAGTATATTTTATCTCATATTTTCTAACACTCAGTAACCCCCTTGCGTCTTAGTGTCTTTAAGACTTACTTGGGCTGAAATGATTAAACAAAAAATAGCAAGATGATCATTGACCGATTGTCTGATAAAATATTCCATTTGAAAAAAAAACAAAACAATGTACCTTAAATTTATCATCATATATACTAGGTTGGCAAGAAATCCTGTTTCTCCTAGGAAGCGGAAAGAAAACAACAAATTTTAATCTCTGTCTGGTGGAATTTTCAAGGAGTACTGCATTTCGAGCTTGTTACACACAGGCGCGCCATCAAATCTAAAGTGTATTGCCAGCAATTAGACCGCGTGTACGACGAACTAAAGAAAGAGTATCCTGCTTTGGTCAATCGAAGTCGGGTTTTGTTTCAACAAGACAATGCGAGGCCAAACATTGCCAAGTTTACTAAGGAGATGTTCAAACAAATGGACAGTGTTGAGATTCTTCCACATCCACCATTCAGTCCCTATGCTGCTCTGATATTTTCCACTCAATAACACATTTCCTTTGCGACCAGTCATATTTTAGCATTGATCTTAGAATACAGGTGACAGTTTAGATATTTTTGAACGAATTTCATCTCTATGAAAATCTCGTATGACATCTGTATGAATAACATTTATATGAAAATTTCGATCTGGTTAGGTTATTTAAGAAAATTCTCTTAGGCTTTCTGGTTAATGTTTTCATTCTGCAGTAATTTGCGGTGATGGGAAAAACTATCCATATTTTCAATTTTCTTATGTACCATACTAAATTTGTTACAAGTGATCCATACACTCTATTGTTTAACGTGTTTAGTACTGACTAATTCCACATCATGAATGTTTATGAGGGATTCAGTGGATTTGCCATTACTAGTATCATTCAAATTCCAAATCATAATTTGTTTTGAAAAGGTTCAAATTAAGTCCTATTTATTGAAACAGTTGACAGATTTTTTTCAAGCTTATTCTTATCCCAACTATGAATACTTAGCCACAATCAGTGCATTAGCATCGAGATGGAAAGCAGAGTCACTGTTTTCGATTCGTTGATTCGTTTCGGATATGCTATGGAATACTTAGATGATCAGTGCCCATCTCTTCGCATTTGTACTTGTAAATACGTGTGACAGAACTAATTTCAACTCGGAACTAATTTCAACTTGGAAATAATTTTAACTAGGAACTTATTTCAAGTTGGAACTAATTTCACTATGGAATTAATTTAAACGCAGAATTAGATTCAACTCGGAATTAAATTCAGCTAGAAATTAATTTCAACTCGGAACTAATTTCAACTCGGAAATAATTTCAACTCGGAATTAATTTCAACTTAGGATTAATTTCAACCCAGAATTAATTTAAACTCGGAACTAATTTCAACTCGGAACTAATTTCAACTCAGAACTAATTTCAACTCGATTTGAAAACTTAAATCTTGCCCCCTAAACCTAACTCTGCGTTCCGAGATGAAATTAGTTCCGAGTTGAAATTAATTCTGCTCTCCGTAAATACGCAGGCCATTGTCTACGAAAAAGTTAAATAGACCGGGCTCTCGCTTTCACTTCTTTGTACTCCTGACTAGGTTTGAAATGTTTCCGTATTAGGGTTCTCGACAGACATGCAAGATTTTGTGAACCGATAAATTTCTTCTATTAGATCGATGCATTCAGTGGATTCGGTGCTTGATACCTAAAGGATTTAGCAGAATGACTGAAAAATCTACAACAGTAACAAATACATCATTGACATTCATTACTCAAATACAATAATTATAATCTAAAAGATAACGTATTTGAAAAATTGGTGAGAAAGAATGAGTTGATGCCTGGATTCCTTGTGAAACTGTCGACTGGGTGAAATGGGTGTGAATAGGACGAGACGTTTTCACACAACGCCATACTGTATGACAAGAGACGACATTTTTTCACAGAAAGATGTCACTGATAAGGTAAGAAAGGAGATCCAGTTTTAAGGAAATGAAAGAGGAAAAATGAAAAATGACTCAAAGAAAGAAAGGCTCAAAGAAAAATTAAATAAAAAAAGAATCTGAAATGATTTGGCATTTTATATTTTAAATAAAATAGAAAGAGGTGTTCGTGGAGGGCTATAAAGTGGAGTGTGTAGAAAGAGAATAGAACGGAAAAAATGGAGTGGACAAAAGTATGAGCATTGAAAGAGAAAAATAAAAAAATACGAACGGGGTAACTCTCTAAATAACGAAGAAGAATGTAACGATAGAAAGGGAAAAAAGATCGAAAATAATTAATGAAAAAAAAAAGACGATGAAGAACAAAAAGTAAAAAAAATGCAAAGAAAGAATAGGAGGAAAAAGAGAAAAAAAGACACAAAGGAAGTAAAGAATAAAGGAAGGAAGGGAGGAGTGAACGAATGAAAACATAGCGAGTAAAAACGAATGAAAAATTGCATAAAGACAGTAAACATAAATAAATAAATAATAACAGAAAAATTGAAAGAAAAATGGAAGTAAAGGAAATAGAAAGAAAGGGATGAACGGTCGGACATAAGTAAAGAACGAAAAAGAAAAGCAAGAAAGTAAATAAATAAATGGCAAAAAATGTAAAAGATACAAAGGAAGGAGGGTAAGAAGGAAGGAAGGAAGGAAAGAAGGAAGGAAGGTAGGCAAGAAGTGAGGAAGGAAGGAAGGAAGGAAGGAAGGAAGGAAGGAAGGAAGGAAGGAAGAGATGTAGGAAGGGAGGAAGGAAGGAAGGTAGGTAGAAAAGGAAGAAAGGAAGGAAGGGAGGTAGGAAAGAAGGAAGGAAGAAAGGGAAGTAGAAAAGGAGGAAGGAAGGAAGGAAGGAAGGAAGGTAGGTAGGAAAGGAAGAAAGGGAGGTAGGAAAGGAAGGAAGGAAGAAGGAAGAGAGGAAGGAAGGCAGGAAGGAAGGAAGGGAGGTAGGAAAGGAGGAAGGAAGAGAGGGAGGTAGAAAAGGAGGAAGGAAAGAAGGAAAGAAAGAAGGAAAGGAGGTAAGAAAGGAGAAAGGAAGGAAGCAGAGACAGAAACAAAGCACGAACGAACAACATAGACATTACGAATGAATGAAAATTAAAGATGGGAGGTAAGATAAATAAATAAAATCAGAAAAATGTAAAAGAAACAAAGTAAGGAAGAATGAAAGAAGAAAGGAAAATGTAAGATATAAAGCTAGAACAAATAATTAAATAAAGAAAAAGAAAATAAAGAAAGTGGAAAAAAGAAAGGAAAATGAATGGAAAGCAAACAAAACCAAAACCAAAAAAAAAAAAGAAACAACGAAAAATCGGAAAATCAAATGATGGAAGTACACTTACATGCATATATATATATATATATATATATATATATATATATATATATATATATATATATATATAGTGACGAATGCATAAAAGATATATATATATATATATATATGGTGAATGCATGAAAGAAAGAAAGAAATGATCAATGAATACAAGAAACAAAAAGAAAGAAATGGTGAATTAATAGGACAAAGAAAGAAAAATGAAGAAATGGTGAATGAATACAAGAAAGAAAGAAAAATGAAGAAATGGTGAATGAATACAAGAATGAAAGAAAAAGAAAGAAATGATGAATGAATACAAGAAAGAAAGAAAAAGAAAACAATGATGAAAGAATACCCGAAAGAAAGGAATAAAGAAAGAAATGATTAACGAATACAAGAAAGAAAAAGAAAGAAATGATTAATGAATACAAGAAAGAAAAAGAAAGAAATGATGAATGAATACCCGAAAGAAACTAAAAGAAAGAAATGATAAATGAATACAAGAAAGAAAAAGAAAGAAATGATGAATCAATACACGAAAGAAAGAAAAAGAAAAAAAGAAAAAAAAAAGAAAGAAATGATGAATGAATACATGAAAGAAAGAAAAAGAAAGAAATGATGAATGAATACATGAAAGAAAGAAAAAGAAAGAAATGATGAAAGAGTACCCGAAAGAAAGAAATAAAGAAAGAAATGATTAACGACTACAAGAAAGAAAAAGAAAGAAATGATGAATGAATACAAGAAAGAAAGAAAAAGAAAAATGAAGAAATGGTGAATGAATACAAGAATGAAAGAAAAAGAAAGAAATGATGAATGAATACGAGAAAGAAATAAAAAGGAAGAAATGATGAATGAATACACGAAAGAAAGAGAAACAAAGAAATGATGAATGAATACAAGAAAGAAAGAAAGAAAGAAAAGAAAAAATGATGAAAATGAGGAATGAATACGAAAGAAAGAAATGAAGAAAAAAGAATGAATACAAGAAAGAAAAAGAAAGAAATGATGAATGAATACAAGAAAGAAAAAAAAGAAAGAAATGAAGGAATACACGACAGAAAGAAAAAGAAAGAAATGATGAATGAATACAAGAAAGAAAGAAAAAGAAAGAAATGATGAAGGAATACAAAATGAAAGAAAAGAAATAAAGAAATGAAGAATGAAAAAGAAAAAAGGAAAAGGAAAAATGATGAATGAATACAAGAAAGAAAGAAAGAAAAAGAAAGAAATGATGAATGAATACAAGAAAGAAAGAAAAAGAAAGAAATGATGAAGGAATACAAGAAAGAAAGAAAAAGAAATAAAGAAATGAAGAATGAATACAAGAAAAAAAGGAAAAAAGAAAAAATGATGAATGAATACAAGAAAGAAAGAAAAAAGAAAGAAATGATGAATAAATACAAGAAATAAAAAAGAAGGAAACGCAAATTAAGAAATAAAAATTAGAGAACTCATTCTTGAAGAAAAAGACAAATTTGCTCAAAAAAAATCAGTAAAATGTTCGCTTGTGTGCACACGCACATACACATAAATCCAAGCACCCATGCATACATTTACACGTGTACATAAACAGAGACTCATGCATATATTCACACAGACGCACGTATATAGAGACATACACACACTCCCATACACACACACGCACACGAAGGAAGCGAGATAAATATAATGTATATTTGTTGTGAAATGAATAAATATTTGTGGAAAAAAGAGTAAATTTGAAAATCAAATTTGAAAAAGTCCAAAAAAGGAAATGGTAATTAAAATATCTGGAACGGAAAGCAAAGACAAGATGAATCAAAGAGAGAAGGAAAAACAGAGAAACATAATGAGGAAACTTTGAAAATAATCGTAGTATACATCAGGTCTAATTGTCTAACCTATTATTCCTCTTACTAGAGCCACATGGTGACAGCATCATTTTAGGATAATGGAATACTATTTCTAAACTTGGAGTTACGAAAAGCAACGATGTGCAAAAAAAAGAGATCAATCATAATAATGATATGACAGCGTGGGCCAATATCTGCACTGGAAAATTTGCAACTTCTACGGAAAGGAAAATGAAATAAACTGGTAGGAACACCACCCAGACCCGGTTACGGAGAAAGGACCTGTTACAATTCTATGGGACTACACAATGCACACTGACAGAACAATCAAAGCCAACCGTCCAGGCATTGTTATTAAAGACCACAAACAAAAAATGTGCCTCCAGACTGCAATGTATCTTTGAAGATATTCAAAAAGCTGTCAAAATACAAGGACCTTGAAATAGAAATCTCAAAAATGTGGCACATGGGAACATCAACAATCGCTGTTTTAGTTGGAACCCTAGGATTGGTTGCAAAAGATTCCAGTAGACTAATTGAAGGGATTCCTAGAATCCCATGCATCAAAGAGATACAAAAAATTGTTCTCACAGGTACAGCTCACACTTTATGAAGGGCTTTATCTATGTATTTTTTTTTTTTTTTTGCAGTGGAAAGTGTCATGTTACCATTTCTAACCTTAGGTCCCTGGGCGGGACCCGGAAAGAAATGTGTAAACGCCAGATATCAAACGAAATAGAAATAACAATAACAATAATAATAATAATAATAATAATAATAATAATAATAATAATAATAAAAGACAATATTATGAATATTTAATACGAGCATGTACTTAAGAAGACATGATTAAAATATTATATAAGATTCAAGTAGGTATAAAGTAAGTGGCCAGTTTTATATTGTTATTAATCATTAAACTAACCCTGAGAATAAATGTGAAATGATATATATATATATATATATATATATATATATATATATATATATATATATATATATATATATATATATATACTTATTTAAGAATATGGTTCCCTCTCTACACAGGGACACAAAGTCTCTACTTCTGTTTCATTTTCAAGCTAATCACTTGAAAATGACAGAATTAGGGACTTTAATTTAATTTAATTCTATAATTGAATTTGAAATTGTTAGCTTCTGTTTTTGAAACACAGTAATTCCTGTGTAGCGATGGAACCATATTTTTAAATAATTAAATAAATAATATTTATGCTCTGTAGATTTGCATTGAGTACTGTTTTGCAAAAATAAGAACACCGGATTATATATCGTACTGTACTTTCTTTTTATCATAATATATATATATATATATATATATATATATATATATATAAATCGGCATCATATCACGCAACGCAGTACAGCCACTAGAACGCACCAGTGGATGAATTAGCACAAGAAACATTAGCAATGAGTGAAAATTGAAAAGAGTAATCAGGAGGACTGTAGATAGCGATTGATATTCCATTTAAACTTTTGCAGGTTAAAGTTGACAGGGAGACCATAGAGTTGGAAGGGAGTTCCACAAGCGAGAAGTGTGAGAAAATAAACTGTTAGCATAGAACTTACGGATACATCTATCCAGGTCTACTGTAAATTGATGAGATCTCGACTCCACTCTAGTACTGCGCTTAAATTTGTAAAGTCTGGGTACCATAGCGAAGAGCTGGTCCGTATTACTGGAAAAATATATTTAAAGATTCTCACGTGAAAATCAAAGTCTTAAAATAAAGTAATTTTATGACTTTTTATTATTATTACTATTAGTAGTAGTAGTAGTAATTGGAGTAGTAATAGTAAGGGAGTATTAGTAGTATCAGCATCCTAATGGAAATAGAGGTCGAGGCTCAATTTTCTGTTGCTCTTTAGTAATAAATTTATCCCCCGTGAATTAATATGTATTAATTCAGAACAACCTCGTTTCTCGAACGTCTCACATGTCGAACAAATCGGTTTTCGAACAGAATATTCGAGGTGAAAATACCTCGGTTATCAAAAAATAATTCGGTTCTCGAACAACATCGCCGAACCAAGGCGAATGGAACCATTTCTGAGTCGATCGCCATGTTGTATATATTCGTATGTTGTGTTATGTTTTTCTGTTCCAATTTTATTGTATTGTGTCCTTTTCTTTTTCTCTTCATTAGTCCCCAGTCATGGCTCCAAAGAAAGCTAGCAGCGATACTGGTAAAAGAAAAAAGAAAAGATGAGAGGAAAAACAACTGTTGATGATATTGCTTCTATAATGATGATGATATTGCCTCTTCTTACTCCGTTTCATATAGCAAAATCAACGATCTATAGTCTATACTCTTCTTATAAATAAAGAGACGATTATGTCTTCCCTTCCCCTTTACAAAGAATAACATCTCTTTTCCTTCCCCTTCCTCTTACGCTATCATCTCTTCTACCAACAGGTACGGATTAATTAAAGTGTTTGTCTGTATTTTATTTGTATTTAATCTATTTTTTTTAGATTTAATGATTGTCATTAGTTTGTGTATAAACTTGTGCACAAAGTACTGTTATTAAAGTTTAAAAACAGCGGTCATCTTGGGACCAGGAACGGATTAATCCGTTTTACATTGATTCATATTGGAAAAAGAGTTTCGGTTTACGCACATTTCGGGTTACGGACGGGCTTCAGGAACAAATTACATTCGTAGCCAGAGGTCCCAATGTATAATAAGCTTAACAATGGCTTACGACCATATCACGTTGAAACACCGATTCTCTTGGAAAACTGAAGCTAAGTTCTAATTCCAGGTAGATTCTTTTATCATTGCGAAAAGTATGAATCCACCATTTCTCCCCCAGCTGTGGATTAATTAGTAGGAACAGTATCAGTAAATTATTATTATCTACAAAAAATAATCTTATAAATCTAAAAATATTTTCTGACTTTAAATAACCAACAAAAGTTTGATGAGTCGTAAAAAATCAAATCAATCAAATAAACTTAACAATATTTACACTATTAATATTCGGATATTTATCCTCATCTTATTATCACAATATTTCGGGCGTTGCGCTCTCTAGCCTTCCTCAGGTGTATATCGATCTGGGTAACCTACTGTGAATTATGAACAGTACCCTTTATTTAATCTACGGGTGTAGACTGCTCTCGCTCCATGCCTATCATTTAGTTCTTATTTTTATTTAGTAGTTTAGTGATTGCGCGTTATTTTCCCCTATGTGCTAGTACACACTGCCCGGCCCAGGGATTGAACTCAGAAACGCAATGTAACCAAATTTACAAACCAACTTTTTTTTTTTCGTTCGTTTGCTTGTTATTACGTGGCAATGGCCGAGTGGATAAAGGCTTTGGTTTGGGAATTTGGCGAGATAGTGTTTAGGAGTTCCATCCCGAGCTCGGGCAGTATGTACATGCACACAAAGGAAGCAGGTGAGCAATGACTGAACTGTACTAAATATTATAGAACAGTCTATCCTGTAGATTGTATAAAGGGCTCAATTGAGATACTACTTGGTTTTAGTGAAAAAGAAAAAAATAGACGTGTTTAACGTCTCTTGCCAATACCTCTTAAACAATGGACCATTCAATTTTGTTTGAGTAGAAAAAACAAGACATTCGCTACTTGGTTTCAGTGGGAAAATGAAAGAAAGAAGAAAGTGAAGATATAGAAGAATTTAACGTTTGTTTCAGTGAAATGGAAAAAAATCGTCAATTTTAAACATATTCATTTGTACCCACTTCTTAAAATGACGACCAGCCATATTTGTTATTGTTATTGCAATATTTTAAGTTATTAAGCTCAAATATTTAAGGATGTGATAGGAGAATTTCTCCGGCTATTTAATTGTCGTATTAAGTTTCATTAGAATATAGGAAAATAGGAAAAACGTGCGTATTATTACAATAAACGTAAATTATATGTAAAGGCTCTCGTGAAATATAGGAAGAGAAAAGAAAGAATGAAAGCAAGAAAGAAGAAAATTAAGAGAAAAGAAAGTAAAAGAAAAAAGAAAGAAGCAAAAAAACGAAAGAAAAAGAAGAAAATAAGAGAAAAGAAATAAGAAAAGAGAGAAAAGAAAGAGAAAAGAAGAAAAGAAAGAGAAAAGAAAGAGAGAAAACGAAGAAATGAAACACAAAAGAAAGAAGGAAAGGAAAATGAAGAAATTAATGACAGATGTAAAAATAAACTTTTCTAATATGAGAGTACACACAGACACATGCTCACACCCACACACACACACGACACACACGCACACATACTGGCACTCTCACACACGTACACACATACACACACGCTCACACACACATTGGCAGAGATGTGCATACACACAAATAAAGAAACAAACAAAAAAGGAAACAAAGAAAGATGCCAAAATTTAATAAATTGAAAAAAAACTATAGGACAACTGAGTCCCGTAGAGAATTCTACAAAGGAATCATACATACAAACATGCACACACATATACACCCACAAACACCCCTACACACACACATACACACATTCACACACTCGCATACACACACACAGAGAAAGAAAGAATGAAAGCAAGAAAGAAAAAATAAAGAAAGAAGAAAGATAGAAGGAAAGAAAGAATGAAAGCAAGAAAAAAAAGAAAGAAAGATAAAAATAAAGAAAGAAGAAAGATAGAAGGAAAGAAAGAAAGCAAGAAAGAAAGAAAGCAAGAAAGAAAAATAAAGAAAGAAGAAAGATAGAAGGAAAGATAGATGGAAAGAAAGAAAGAAAGAAAGCAAGAAAGAAAAAATAAAGAAAGAAGAACGATAGAAGGTAAGAAAGAAAGAAAGAAAGAAAGAAAGAATGAAAGAAAGAAAGAAAAAATAAAGAAAGAAGAAAGATAGAAGGAAAGAAAGAAAGATAGAAAGAAAGAAAGCAAGAAAGAAAAAATAAAGAAAGAAGAAAGATAGAAGGAAAGAAGGAAAGAAAGAAAGAAAGAAAGAAGATTTAGGAAATTTAGTAAATAATAAGGCAACAGGATTTCAAATGTTGGTCTTCGAGGCGAGCAGTCAGAAACAAAATGTGCAAAACAAAGTAAGAAACAAATAAATCACGTTGCATATTCTCTCTTTTCTTAAAAATATCGTTTTATGCAATTCTCCCCAAGCAAGGTAGGAGTACCCCTAGCACGCAAGTGAGTAAGAGTAAGAGTGAAGAGGAATGTCTGGGAAAAGGATAAAGAGAAGGACAAGGATCAAATTCAAGGCATCAGAAGATATCGATTGACATTACATTTGAATATTTGAAGATTATTGCTATCAGAAAAGCAAGTGATAGGAAGGGAGTTCCACTGACGGGAGGTGCGAGATAAGAAGCTGTTGGAGTAGAAGAGATGTCTACATTTAGCTGTTTCAACAGTGAAAAGGGGAACCGAGATGCCAACCATGTTGCATATCCGTCCCTAGATTTTGTCGAGGTCCCCGAGACGAACAGCGCGGGCTCTCGATCATATATGGCAGCATTATTCAATGCAAGCAAGAAGGGTTGATTTGCAGATTTGAAGGATGGACTCCGGCGAGAAGAACCTTCTGGCGCGACACAGAGAACCAACTTTCCTTGCGGTAGATGAAGCTATAGATTCAATGTAGTTGTTACACTTCAAGTCAGTGGACAACGTGAGACCAAGCTGGTGAAGAGAAGCGCTCTCGGGGAGTTGGGCATCAGCCATCCTGACGGGAGGCAGGGAGGGTTCTCTTTAGTGGGTAACTGAGAGTAGTTTCGTCTTAGAAGCATTAAAGTTTACAAGCCATTTCCATCCCCAGTCAGCCACAGTTTGGAAGTCCTTCTCGAGGCCTACGGCCAGATTAGTTTTGTCAACAATGGCGGATCTACTATTAAGGCTGGAGTAAATAGTAGTGCCGTCAGCGTAGATGTCAAGTTGATGACATTCAACCTAAACTGGCAACGTCATATTCCCTTGTCAGAAGGGACATAAACGCTCTTACGTTCTAACCTATGTGAAAATTACGTTCTCACGACTGGAACAATATTCTTTCTTCTGTCATTTGGTCTTGCGCCAAACTTAGCTCGACTTGGTAAATATCGACCGAGAGACGAGTTAAAAAGAAGACAAGAAAAAAAATAAAACAAAGAAACGAATAGAAAGAAAGGAAATAATGAGAAGTGGGGTAAATAGAAAACAAGTGAAGAAAGGGAAATATCAAAATGAGCCTAAGCAAGATTGTCATTTTCACAGTGATATCAATCTGATATTGTTTATGACGTCGGAAATGCTTACGGCTTGAAGGGCGATAGGACATCTAATGTTTCATTGCCTTACAATAAAAGTCGTTAAAACGAATTGGCATATTCACATCTTCGGACGGTTTTGTCTTCCTTTCTCGGATTTTTTCCAATATGTTCCATTCAAATATTTTACAGCGACGATGGAATTAGTCACTGGGCGAAATGTTAAAGAGTTATTGAAGAACGGTTTGTTTATATCCAACCGGCGATAGACATTTGCCTTAAGAAGGATTGTGCGTATAACATATTGGTGTTTTCTTGAAAAATCCAAAATTACTAGTGATTACATTCATTTATATTACATATGCAATAAATGTTATTTACTCACTTGATAAATGGTAGCCAGGGGTAGATTGCATTATATATGTAATGTTATTGTTCCTGACCTGGTAACTCGGTTTCAGTCACTTTTCTACCGCCTTACTATATAGGGGTATATGGAACTCCGTAACTGTAGTGAAGGCAGTTCATCTTTGAGAAGGCAAATGAAGCCAGAAGTGAACCGTTCCAATCAACTGCCATTGGAATGCAGGATATCAGTCAAGTGTTGATGGCATTACATAACAAACTATGTATTCGGCCTTTACAGCACCCTCTCCTAGCATAATACGCATGTCGATGAACACGGTCGGGGAAACTATCATTAAACCTGACACTTCTGCTCTTTATAGGAATGGCAAACCGTAGACGAGTGCTAAAATACTGAAAGACAAGATCCTAGCTTCCCTGTGCTTTTTCTATAAATATTTTCATGGAAATTGTTCTGATGAGCTTTCCTCATTGGGATTAACTTTTAGAATTGTTGTTTTATTGCCCTCTCCCCCCACAGACAACAAATTGTAAATATGGAGACTAGTTAGTATTTTCATAGAGACAAAGAGGTATTATGGTGGTTGTAGTAAGAAAGGTACTTATGAATGTGTTGTTTTGGTGTAAGGAATATTGCTTCGTACGTTTGGGTCAGTGCTTGCGGCTAGCTAAGTTATAATTAAGACAGAAGAAGACAGTTCTTTCCCCAATCCCCTTTTCGGCCTTGTGCCACATTTCTGTATTGTACAGAATAAATATCGCTTTTCTCTTTTGTATCTAGGCTTTACGAATTTAAAGACAGTACCAGATTAGCAGCAAGCTCTCATCATATTAAGCGGAAGTTCTATGCTTATAGTTTCTTCTCTCGTTCCCTTGTGGACCTCTCTTCCGGCTTCTTGTTTTCAAGCCAACTTTGATCTTTAAACATTTAAATGCAATGTCAATTGTATGTTCTGTCATCTTAATAGCTGTTTTGTTATTGTCTCATCTCATAATCGTGTTTTCTTTTTGTCATACTGTCTCACGCTCAGTAGCCCCTTGCGTTTAAGGGGCTTTCTTACCTTGCTCGTTTGAAAAAGTTTATTCACCCACACAGATTAATATATTATGAAGAAAGGTCTTTTTTTAGTTCACATCTTCTGTGGTCAGGTATTGATCTCACAACGCTTTAGATTAAGTCACTGGATAATGACAACCAATGAGTTTATCCACTGGGTCATGTCTCATTGGAGAGTTGAGTTAAAGAAAAATAACTGGTACTGAGAATTCCAGAACAGGTATGGCACGTGGAACAAGAACAATCTACCTCGGTGGAAAAAAAACGCGTTCAATCGAAATTCCAATCATTTGAAAAAGGCCGAAACGTTGAGAATATGGCAATGAAGATGAGGACAACTGCCTGAACAATGTAAATAGGGTAAAGAATTAGAATAACTTATCTCAGAAATATAGACAGATATTTTTTACTTTATTCCTTCCTTCTTTTTTTTTTGCTCAATTCGTTCTTCAGTTCTTTCCTTTTTAATGTTTCTTTCATTATTTTTTTTCATACATTATTTATTTCGTTTTTCGCTTCACTTATTGCTTTTCTGTTTTTCTTTTTTCCTTTCATCCATTTTGTCTTCCAAAAACTGGATTTCTTTTTTTTAACTTTCTCCTTCGCTTTCTATTCATTTACAATTTTTGCTTCACTTTTTACGTTTACACTTTCTTCTTCATTTTCAGTTCCATTCTTTTTTCGTCTTACTTTTTTCTTCTTTCATATCTATGATGAACCTTTCTTTCTTTCTTTCTTTCTTTTATTTCCTTCTTTCTTTCTTATTTTATATTTATTAGATCTATGATAATCTATTTGCTTCTTTCTTTCTTTTTTCTATGTATTTCATTCTGTCACTCTTTCTTTCTTATTTTATATTTATTATATCGAGGAAGATCTATTCGCTTCTTTCGTTTTTTCTTCTTTTCTATCGTTCTTTCCTTGTTTCTTTCTGCATCTTTCTTTCTGATTTTATTTTTTCATTCTTTCTTTCATTCTGCTTATTTTATTTTTATTATAACGATGATGATGTATACGCTTCTTTCTTTCTTTCTTTCTTTCTTTCTTTCTTTTAGTCTTTCTTTCTTATGCTACATTTATTATATCTATGATGATCTATTCGCGTCTTTCTTTCTTCCTTTCTTCCTTTCTTCCATTCTTTCTTTCTTTCTTTCTTTCTTTCTTTGTCTTTCTTTTAGTCTTTCTTTCTTATTTTATATTTATTATATCTATGATGATCTATTCGCGTCTTTCTTTCTTTCTGTGTCTTTCTTTTAGTCTTTCTTATTTTAAATTTATTATATCTATGATGATCTATTCGCGTCTTTCTTTCTTTCTTCCTTTCTTCCTTTCTTTCTTTCTTTCTTTCTTTCTTTGTCTTTCTTTTTGTCTTTCTTTCTTATTTTAAATTTATTATATCTATGATGATCTATTCGCGTCTTTCTTTCTTTCTTTCTTTCTTTCTTCCTTTCTTCCTTTCTTTCTTTCTTTCTTCCTTTCTTCCTTCCTTACTTTCTTTCTTTCTTTCTTTCTTTTTTGTCTTTCTTTTAGTCTTTCTTTCTTATTTTAAATTTATTATATCTATGATGATCTATTCGCTTCTTTCTTTCTTTCTTTCTTCCTTCCTTCCTTCCTTCCTTTCTTTCTTTCTTTCTTTCTTTCTTCCTTCCTTCCTTACTTTCTTTCTTTCTTTCTTTCTTTTTTGTCTTTCTTTTAGTCTTTCATTCTTATTTTAAATTTATTATATCTATGATGATCTATTCGCGTCTTTCTTTCTTTCTTTCTTTCTTCCTTTCTTCCTTTCTTTCTTTCTTTCTTTCTTTCTTCCTTTCTTTGTCTTTCTTTTAGTCTTTCTTTCTTATTTTAAATTTATTATATCTATGATGATCTATTCGCTTCTTTCTTCTTTCCTTCCTTCCTTCATTCCTTCCTTTCTTTCTTTCTTTCTTTCTTTCTTTCTTTGTCTTTCTTTTAGTCTTTCTTTCTTATTTTATATTTATTATATCTATGATGATCTATTCGCTTCTTTCTTCCTTCCTTCCTTCCTTCCTTCTTTCCTTTCTTTCTTTCTTTTTTGTCTTTCTTTTAGTCTTTCTTTCTTATTTTATATTTATTATATCTATGATGATCTATTCGCTTCTTTCTTTCTTTTTTCGTCTCCATTATTTCCCTTTTCTTTTTCTTGTTCATTTGTCATCACCTTTCCGTTCATCCTGCTCGTCTTTTTCTTCTTCTTTTTCCGATATGCTTTTCTTTTTATATTTTCCTCTTTTTTTTTCTTTTTGCGCCGTTCTTTCCTCTTCTTTTTACCCTTTTGTCTCTTTTTCTTCCTTCTTCCTCCTCACTCCCCTCCTCCTCTCCTTTGTTTTTCTCTTCGGACATCTTCGATTCTACTTCATCTCCTCGACATTTTCCAAATCTTTTTACTCTTCTTCTATCGACTCAAGATTTTCCCTATCATGACTCGGATCTCCATCTGTGCTTCTTCCGGCGTTGAACCGCTGGCAATTTCATCCGATTCTCTTTTAACCCTAACCCTGCCTTCTTTTTCACTTTCATCACACTCTTTCTCTCTTACAATCTGTTGTAACCTAGAAAAGGTTACTGAATGAAGAATAATCAAAACGGAGGTTGGAAATGAAATGGTAATCTTTATAACATCAACAAAATCCAATACTTGCCAGCGGCGTGAAATAGGTAAACCACTGCCAGTGGTGGACTACTTAGACAGCATATTACCCAAACTTACTATAGTGTCCAACGTATTTATGATTATTGGGGCATACGCATTACTGTTCTTCGGTACGGTATATAACACTATCTATCTATATATCTATTCGTATATATATATATATATATATATATATATATATATATATATATATATATATATATATTGTGATTGTATCTAGCATGAAACAGGCCTGACAATTGCATGTAGCATGAAACAGCTTGTCGCCTCTAATGTTGACTTCAATGTTCACTTTTATATTTGCACACGCTCTATCTCTGATATTTGGCACTTTATCCCATAAATATAGCACACTTTAAGAGTAAATTTCTTCAAATATGTATATATATATATATATATATATATATATATTACTTGCATCTTTCCGGTAGATTAAATATGCGTAGCATTTACAATATATATTAAAGCCATATCTATCTATCTATCTATCTATCTATCTATCTATCTATCTGTTGTAACTTAGGAAAGGTTAGTGAATGAGGAATAGCCAAAACAGAAATTTGAAATGAAATGGTAGTCTTTATAACATCAACAAAATTCAATTCCCATTGATAATAGACATTTTAATAAATTAAACTTTCTAAAACACTTATTTTAAAAATAAAACAAAACAAAACAATCGATGATTACACTGACTTAAAAAATAAAAGCTGAAATGTAAAATAAACACATATGTTTTTTAATAATTAAATATTGTAAATACATAATAATATAACAAAATTATAATATAATAATTAAAAATCCTTTGTATATCTAAATTTGTCGAATTACTATGCCAATCACAGCCTAAACTGGTGTTCATTTACATAAGGTGTTAGGTACTTTTTTAAAAGCGTGGTTCACCCTATACAAGGCTGAGGAGCCACTCGAGGTAGAAGGTTACGTTTGGAGGCCATTTGTTTCTATACGAGTGGAAGATAACGGTTAACCCTAGCCATGAACAGGTTAAAATTGCAGTGATCGGGGAAATAGGTTCTAAAGGGCAGTGGTTCGCGAGAAAAGCTACTCGAGTGGAACTTACTTCTCATCGATGGAATACGGAGGACATGTGGGTGATTTACTAGTATGTAAGTGCTAAGGCGTGTTCTTGCTCAAAAGGTTTGCCTCGGCGGGACCAGGAAATGTAGTTCGTCCGAGCACATTCCGTGGAAATAGCGATAGAGCAGTGACAGGTTTGCCACATCCCGCCAGTGGAAGAGAGGTCAAAGGGTGCGCTGTGCACCTCTATCTTGCATTCAATATGTTTGGTGAGTGTCAAATTCTTCGAACCTACTTTCCTCGTTATGTGTCCCTGAAATTCCAACTATCTCTTTCTAAATGTATACGATATCTATAAGTCTATGTTTTTTTTTTATTATTATTAAGCAATAATTTATGAAATGTAAGCGAACGGTAACATTTGCATATTTTCCTATGTGAAACAATAAAATATAAAATAATGAATCTAGTATATTACCCGTAAAAAATAACAGGATTATTATTATTATTATTATTATTATTATTATTAAATATTGATCGTCACTACTACCTAGGGTCAGGTTACTTGGGCACACTAGCTAGGATCAAAGTTTCCTTCTCCGGTCCTCTGCTTTGGATCAGAGGGTAATATCTCTACATTTCCTTAGATTCAGACATGCTAGAAAATCCGCAAAAACATTTATATGTAAATAATAATAATAATAATAATAATAATAATAATAATAATAATGAAGCTCGTGTGGAACATGATCCGCTTGAAGGACAAGCGCTTGGAGAGCAAATGCTCTGATATCACAATGGATCCTAATGGAATTTGCGGTACCATGGGATACGAACATCGATGAAGATGCAGCAGGCAGAAATATAGTGGTATTAAGACCCAGTAGAGCAAATCAGAGGAAGTTGTCCCCTTTTGTTGTTTGCAAGCTGGGGACTATTTCCAGAAATATTTATGCCTCGCAAGACGCCTTAGGGATACGGGGCATAACTGGAATTACTCAGGTGGCAGCAATGCTTTGAAACTGTTCATGTGCTGAGGAAAGTGTTTTACTCCTAAGCTGTGGGAAACAGCTGAGACGTGAACTTCATCACCTGGTGGAAACATCTAAGAATCGGAGAGGATTTCAAATCGAATACTACTACTACTACTACTACTACTACTAATAATAATAATAATAATAACAATGGATCGGAGTTTTGAATATGCAAAAAAAATTGTATACTCTATACAATTATATTTTATACACTATATAAATTATATACTTAGAAGAAATATTTAAAAAAAATAATGATTTAATGATAGAAGTCTTACTAATTAACCCATAGCTGGAGGGAGAAGATGTGGAATCATAACTTCCCAAGAGTATTTGCGCGTATGGTAATATAACGAACGCAACTAGAATTGAAACACGACGGTCACTCATCTAGATATTGATCACACTCGACGTTGCTTAACTTCGGTGATCGTAAAAGAGCAAAGAGTATGAGACGGTTATAAGATTTATATTCAGGAGTTATCTCTCTTACGATACTGAAAATTAAGCCAGTTTAGACAGGCGATATTTATGTTCAAGGTCGTTGCAAGTGTACGATATTAGCATCTATAACAATGAGACACCGAGACAAAGAGTATAAAAACGAAGGTAAGCCCAGCTATGTTGTTGTTAAACCTTGCTAACTCAATCGACCCGGTTGGCCGGGTGCTAAAGCTGTTTACAACTGAGATTTCTCAACAGACGGCGCTTTTGATAGCTGGCGTTGGCCACTCGCTTGACATTATCTTTGTGCAAATCTCACAGTGGATTATTGTCCGTAGTGCACTGATGATCAGATAACTCTCCAGCCAAAGGAGACACATTTCGTTGTCGCTCTAAATCCGCATTCCATATTATTTTATATGGAAGCACGTCAGAGTGAAAATGTCTCAGGTTATATTTATCTAGAGTTTAAGATATTTAACATTTAACAGAACGCCCACTCGTACAGAGTGCGGTCTTTTAACGTGGGGAGTACAACGCGTATCCTGAAAAACGTATATAAATTAGAGGCATCTGCATCTATTTGAAGCAACGGTATATTGCGTTTTACGTTAACAGTCATGTGAATAAATTGTATAACGTTAATAGTAACAACTATATAATAATAATAATAATAATAATAATAATAATAATAATAATAATAGGATTACACAATGCACACAAGCAGAACAATCAAAACTAATCGCCCTGACATTGTTATTAGAGACCGCAAAAAAAATTGCATTCTTATTGACTGCAATGTATCTTTGAAGATCTTCAAAAAGGTATGCAAATTCAAGTACCTTGAAATCAAAATCTCAGAAATGTGGCACATGAGAACATCAATAATCCCTGTTGTAGTTTGAGCCCTCGGATTGATTGTAAAAGATTCCAAATAGACTCATTGAAGAGATTCCTGGTATCGCATGGCTTAAAGAAATACAAAAAGATGTTCTCTCGATTACAGGCCACACTTTACGAAAGGTTTATCTATGTAAAATATCTTTCTGACCTTAGGTCTCTCGGCGGGACCGGAAAAAATGCGTACACAACAGAAATCAAAGGAAATAATAATAATAATAATAATAATAATAATAATAATAATAATAATAATAAGTCCAGCGGATTGTAACATAGCAACCAAGGAATTTGAAAAACTATCAAAATACAAAGACCTGGAAATTGAAATAGAAAAAATGTGGAAATTGAAAACAAGAATAATACCAGTGGTAATAGGTGCACTTGGAATTATAAAAAATGGAACAAAACAACACATTGAAAGAATCCCTGGAAACCCCAGCTTAAGAGACATACAGAAAATTGTCTTATTAAGTACAGCACACACACTAAGGAGAACTTTGTCTATGTAACGCTAGCAACTTCATCGGAGATAAAAAAAAAAAAAAAAAAAAAATTAACATGAAATGTGGCCATAACAACACACCACGACCTGCCTTAGGTCTTTCCGCAGACTTGGTAGGTAGTGTGTCCATAGCAGAAATCGAATGATGATGATGATGACAATAATAATAATAATAATAATACCTACGTAAGCAGGCATCCGTTTGTCTCACAAGATTAAATCTTCTCCAGGGCACAAACCTGGGCGATGGTATATGGAGGGCATACGCTGGACAGACTACACCCTCTTTCACTCAGTCGTACCGACAAAATCGAAAGGAATGCAGGTTTGCATTATATATGGGACCGGCTTAGCTTCAGGATTTATCGGAAAGTTGTCAGTTCACATTCAACCATCTTTAATTGTTTTCTGTCTCGATTTACTTTCAAAGTCTTGTCTATGACAGTGCAGTGGATGTTTAAAATCAAGGTTTTCCTTTCACTCCCTAGACGGACAGCCTTCCTTGGATGTCACGCTCCATCTACACAAACTGCTGGTTATGAGGCGCCAGTTGTCCACCTTGGCTCATTATACACAGTTGTTACACTTTGATAACATATATATTTTTTTCTCTCTTCGTGCTTCACTTTCGACAAAAGGCTAGTGTATATAATAAATATTATCAATCTTATTGCTAATATTGTTAGCATTTTGTTCCTTTTATTTATCAAATTCGATTAACCGGCCAATTAAATTTACCTATTTTACAAAGCATACCTGGGCCATCTTTCGTTTTAATCACTTTAATGTTCACTTTTATATTTACACACGCACTATCTCTGATACTGAACACTTTATTCCATAAACATAGCATACCTTAAAACTATATTTTATCATATATATATATATATATATATATATATATATATATATATATATATATATATATATATATATATATATATATATTAATACTGAGCACTTTATCTTATAAACATAGCATACCTTAAACTTATATTTCTTCATATATATATATATATATATATATATATATATATAGTGTAACCCGGATATAAGAGACCCAGGTATAAGAGAAACCGGATATAAGAGAGATTTTCTCTGGTCCCAAATTAGAGCCTGTGTTAATGTATATAAAATAGACCAAACCCGGATATAGAGAAACCCGGATATAAGAGACTTCTCTGGACAACTCTCTTATATCCTGGTTACACTGTATATATATATATATATATATATATATATAGTTTTACGGTATGCTATAATTATAGTTTAAAATACTTATTATCAGTGAGAGCCTGTATATATATATATATATATATATATATATATATATATATATATATATATATATATATATATATATATATATATATATGTATTTGTGTGTGTGTGTGTGTGTGTGCTATTCTTATCTTTAATAATCCGATTGTTTAGGAAGTGAGTTTTACGAGCTGAACGCCAGCATTGAAATAAAATAAGCAAACATTTGTTAAGTTTCGTCTACCATATACATTCTTCGGCAATCGCCACAAGGCAAATAACAACCATCGAAAGAGACATAGTTAACAACAACGCGCCGACCACGTCCAGTTGCGGATCAAGGCGGCTACGTCGTTCGTATCCGTACAGATTTGCTAACAATTAGAACAAGTGAGTTATTCCCCCCTTATCTCGCTTTCTGATCTCTTGATTTTACCCCGACCGGCGTGGCTCGTTGGACGGTCGGATTGGAGAAGACATTAGAACCAAGAAGGGATTTATATTGACGCTTACAGTTGACAGCCATTGAGGCCGTTTCTTCCGACCGTTAAGATTTCTCTGTCTTCACTAGTAATCGTGCCAGCAAAGATGGCGTCGAGAATGCGATGAGTTTTTCTTGTCACCGGTAACTTGCCGCTGTTCACACTGGCTGTTAGCATATTGATGGCAATCAGTTGTCGGGAGATGTTAGCCGGCTAATATCCGGCGAACATAAAAATTTTGGTGGGAAGTTAAAGGGCTGGGAGGGTAATGATTCGTAGTTGAGGCCGACGTTTTCTTGCGTGTGTGGCGGAAACAGTGAATTGCTGAAATTAGGAGAATAGTGTGCATGGATAAGTTCAGTTCATTTTTCATCGGTTTGTATTTTCATTTGTTTTTTGTTTTTTTCTGTCATTTTTTTTCTTTGTTTAATTCTTTTATTTTATTTCTTTTTCTGTTTTTCATTTTTTACTTGTTTCCTTTCTTCGTCCTTTCTTTTTTCAATTTTATATTTCTTTCATTATTCTTTTTTCATTATTACTTCCCTCTGTCATTCTTTTTTCTTATTTCTTTTCAGTTTTCTCTTTCTTTTTCCTTTCTTTCTTTCTTTCTTTCTTCATTTGCTTCTTTTGGTTTCTTTGTATCTCATTCTCTTTTTTTCTTTATCATTTTATTTTCCTCCTTTTCTCATTCTCTTTGCTTTCCTTTCCTTTCTTTACTTTTCTTGTTTTTTTTTCTTTTTCTTTTTCTTTCTTTCTTTCTTTCTTTCTTTCTTTCTTTCTTTCTTTTGCTTTCATTGAACACAATTTCTTCTCTAATTTCTTTCCCATTTTTTTCATCATTGTGTTTTCTGTTCCTCTTTCTTTTTTATTCTCTTTCCTTTCTCTTTTCTTTATTCTCTTTCCTTTCTCTTTTCTTTATTCTTTCTTGTTCCTTCTCTTTATTACTCTTTTATTTCTTACTTCTTTATTTCCTTCTTATTTAATCTTTATTTAATTATTCTTTATGTATTCAGTCTTTCTTACTTTTTGGTTTTCTTCATTTTTTTCAATTTTTCCTTTCTTAGTATTCCACTTTTTTTTATTGTCATATTTTCTTCTTGATTTAATTTTCCTTTCTTTCTTTTTTCCTCTCTTCCCCTCCTTTCCTTCTTTCTTTCCTTCCTTCCTTCCTTTCTTCTTTCATTCTGCTGCCTTCGTCGCTTTATCGCTTCCTTCTATTTTTCATCATACCATTTATTTATTCATTTCTCACTCATTTTGCCTCCTCTCTGTCTCTCTTCCTCCATATCTTCGTTCCTTTCTTCCCCAAACACTCCTTCTGTTTCCTCTATTTCTTCTTCTTTTTCCTTCCTTAAGTCCTCTATGTTGTTTCAACCCCTTTATTCCTTCCTTCTTTCTTTCCTTATTTTTCTCTAACCCCCTTCTTCCTTACGCCCTCAATTCTTTCCTTCTTCGTTCATTTGTTCCTCTCTTCCTTCCTTCATCCCTATTTCTTCTTTCTTTCCTTCCTTACATTATCTGTATTTTTCTTCCTTCTTCAACCTCTTCCTTCCTTCCTTCCTTCCTTCCTTCCTTCCTTCCCCCCGCGTACATTTCTTCGTTAATTTCTCTGTTTGCCTCTTCCTTTCTCTATACCTTCCTTCTTCAAACGATTTCCTCCTTCTCCTTCCTCCATCCCTTCTTTCCTTTCTTCTTTAAGTCATCCATATCTTCCTTCCTTCCTCCCTTCCCTCCCTTCCTCCCTTCGTAGCTATATCCCTTCCTTCTATTCTTCTTCGTGTCATTCCTTTTCTCTTCTATTCTTCCCTCCACACGTTCGTTCGTTCGTTCTTTCCTTCTACTTCCTCGATTTCTTCTTTCTTTCCTTCCTTACGTCATCTGTATTTTCCATCTTACTTCAACCTCTTCCTTTTTTTCTTTCCTTCCTCTTCCTCTATCCCTTTCTTCCTTACGCCCTACATTCTTTTCTTCTTCGTTTCTTCCTTCCTTCCTTCTTTCTTTCCTTCACCTCTTCGTTAATTTCTCTGTTTTCCTGTTCATTTCACGATACCTTCCTTCTTCAAACGATTTCTTCCTTCTCCTTCCTCTATCCTTTTTTTCCTTTTTTCCTTACGTCCTCCCTATCTTCCTTTCTTCCTTTTTATTTTTCTTTTTTCATGCCTTCGTTCATTCATTTCTTCATCACCCCGTCATTTTACTTACTTTAAAAGTTTAACTGCAATTACAATCGTTATCTACTGTCTTCTGGATTACTCTTCCATTATTCAGGAACCTTAACATTTACCATATTGAAGTCTTTTTGGTAGATGTGCTAACTATATCTCTATAAAAGGCAGGATGTGTGTGTGTGTGTGTGTGTGTGTGTGTGTGTAACGAATGCACGGCCGCAATTTTCGACGGATTTGCACCAAAATTGACATGCACATGTTCCAAGTTAGTGGGAAGACCAAGACCGACTTTGCATTTCCCAACTCCCAATCGATAGTGGAAATAATCGATTTTTTCATGCTTTTACGGCAGATTTTATGTAGTTTGCGGCCATTTTCTACTGGCCAGAGTGAGAGACTATAGCTGGATGCCACGAATAGGCAGGAAGATTCTATTGGCCAACGTGAGAGCCAACAGCTGACTGACACGAATGTTAACTAGCATGCTAGCATGCAAAAAAAAATCGATTGCTGCATTCGTCAAAAGTGGGCAAAATTTAAATCTGCATGCCACTTTACTCCAATTGGCTCATTCGCTTGCTTAAACTCAACGTGGATTCTGATTCCGCAGAACTGGGTTGCGTGTGAAAAAGTATTTGTTGTTAACATTCTTTTTTTCATTCGGTTTTTCCAGTTACGAGTCCTTTTTAAAAACTGATCGTTTTGTGTTCATTTTGTTTAGTTCTTTTTTCGTAACAGATTTAATGTTTAGTATAGAGCTTAGAAAAAATTCGAAGTGTGAGATAGGCAAGAATTAAGGCATGTAGCAACATCAGCATAGCAAAGGGCACTCTTTTAAAGGCAAAGAAGGGCAAAAATATTTTAATTCAAGTGATAGTGCTTGCTTTATGAGTCGTACGATTTTTGAATCAAGCAATTAATTCTGTCACTCGGTCAAACGATATTGAAAAACCTTACGAACTTTTGGTAAAAACCAATAGAAATCAACCTACTTAGATGCGAAGAGGAACATAGGAATACAGTTTAGAACATAGACATAAGTACGCGGTTTCGAACTATGTCCTCAAATTTTTTCAATCTGCTAGAAGGCCTCACAAACCAAAGCCCTATTGCGTCGTGTTCATTTCAGCATTTCTTTGCCACCCTATGGTCACATTTGTTTATTCATGTAGTTCTAAAATCTCAAGAAGAAAAATGAAATTGAAGCATTGTTCATTTATAGATGTCTTCAGTTTAACCAGCGGTAAATGTTGGTGTATAGCTGGATTCTAATACGAGTAAACCACGGTAATATAGAAAACGTAATTTATACAAAATATTTTTCGTATATTTTTAGGTATTTTACTATATCATTATTACTTTGGTAGATGTACACGTAGTGTAATAGTTACAGGTTTGGAATGGGAAATCGGCAAACCGAGTTCGAATTCTAGTCGAGTTCATTTTTATTGCTGGTAATAATTTTCTCCAAAAATGTATTGCTGGTAATATTTTTCTTTTTCAAACAAAGTATTATTGGTATTAAAACTTATTTTTACACTTTCATAGTGTTTTGACCGCTTTTCGTGGTTGACTATTTACCCATAGCTGGGACCCTAACAGGTTTTACCACTCCGGGTCAGGGTTGACCTGCGAACACCAGCAGTTAAGAGGTGGTTCCACGCTCCTCAAAACTTCCTGATCAAAACCTTGCTGTCGAATATAGTTTATCGTCTTCACCAGAACGCAGATGTAGTTTATGGCCACACCCAGGACAGACCGTATATCTGGGGGTCAACCTATACAATAGCTGAGAAGTTTGAGCTAAAAATCATGAGGTCGAACTGTACAACGCAATTTACGGTATTGTTCTACAGGCTGGGGTAGAAATAAATGCCACTTATATCTCTCAGAAATACTTCTAATATAATGGTAAGACATTAGTTCCAATTGTATTTGCATCAAGCTAATGTCCTACCATTATGTGGGAGGTTTTTAGGACTGACGATGTATTATTATTCTTAGTTCATCTTAGTACACTGGTCTACAATTTTTCACAAATTTATTACTTCAGAAAATATGTGCAAATTCTTATGTATTTTGACATTTTTACTAAATGTACAATTATGTTAGTAACCTGATAACAATATATTCGGCAAGTGCGGACTAAAATCTACGAAAGGAAAGCGGAGAGAAATGGGTCAAATGGTACCCAAGAAACAAGTAAATAACTAACAACCAGTTTCAAGAACAGCCAATTAGAATATGTTTCTTCTTTCGCACTTATCTTTCGTGGAATTCACTTCCGGTTTCTTGATTCCCAGCCAACATTGATCTTCAAACATTTAAATACAATGCCAATTCATATCTACTGTCTTCCCGAATACACTTCTATGGTTCTCGCTCAAATATTCGCTTTTGGAACTCTCTTCCGGTTTCTTGCGTTCCAGTCAACATTGATCTTCATACATTTAATCGCCATGTATATACTTATTTTCTCTCTTCTTAATTCTTGTTCTTTTATAGTTCTCTCCCTTGAATAGTATTTTTTCTCTTATTCTCAAACATTCAGTAAACCTATCTGCATCTTAGTGACTTTATTCCCTTGATTGGGGTGACATAAAATAGAGAAGATTAAGAGGAAACGGCGTAGACTATATAAAAATTGATAACAGATTCAGAGATACTGTTGTGCGTTTATCCAAACACCGACTGAGGGAGCGACCACTTTCTAATCACAAGCGACGAAAATTAGCTACGAAGGATGATCAAGAGTAAACATGTTAAGAGAAAGCCGTTCGGAGCTACCTTCACCAACTTCCGGAAGGTACACGTCGAATAAAACCAGATTAGAGGGATTTGAAGACTCATTTAAAACCTAAGATCATCTTTCAAGGAGGCGCTTTAAGCAATTTGGCATTAAACGTTTTATGTTTGCATTTATGAATTACTTAAGATGTTATGGTCGTAAGAGTAGCACATATAATGTAACCGTAGCAGCAAAGAAGTGTCTTGGACAAAGTCACCTGACGAAATCCATCCATCTTCTGGCTGGTTTTGAAGTTAGACTTCTACATTAGTTGACACTTTTTTTTCTTTTTAAATGATCATCGAGTAAAAGGCCCAAGAGCAACTCACAGTAGAATGTCACAGAGTGAGCATGTTGTCTAAACATAAGGGGAAAGAGTAGGCGCAGTATGTGAGGATCTTTAAAATAGATATCGCTTGAGCGAAAAGGTGAAGCTTGAAGCGATAAGGGAAGCGTCCACCCAGGAGTTTGTCCCCGAAAGTAGCGGTTCTTGTGAAGAGGATGCTTGAGTGAAACTTCTTCCTTACCAATGGAATATTCAACACTAGAGAAAACGGCTTACCTCCGGGATGAAAAAGGATTCGGACGTGTCTCACATGTAAAATATCCCCCCCGACCCCCCAAAAAATGTATATTTAAAAAATTAAAAAAAAAAGTTATATCTCCGAGTCGGATAAACTTTCGCGAGAATCGTTTTTAACATATGCAAATTTGAACTGTCACTCAATGGATAAAATGTGTTTAAAGAAGCAACAGAAAGACATGCAACAGCGAACAGGAGACATGTGTTGTTGGATTGTTTGACTTACACTACTTTGAAGGTTGCAGTGAACAGATTAGGGAACTTTATTACAAGCCAGAAGAAACTGACTACAGACTGCGAAGGAAATTTGGATGATTCGACCCAGTGCACTTGGCCTTATGTGTCCTAGCGGTAAAGATTTGAACTAGTGGAGGTAAGGAATGTAATTCGTTTGAATATTTGCCATGGAAACACCAAAGGTAAGTGATAGACTCGCGACGTTACGTATGTGGAAAAGATATTGTATGGTTGAAAATAATGGCTACAAGGTTAATAAAACACTTTTGCACTCTATTAAGTAACAGCCTCGTCTGTTCTGCTATTTAATACGTAACGGAAATAAGAGGAATATCGTACTTTTTTCAATGGTTTTAGCGCAAAGTGAAACCTAAACGATATCGGAATGAACACGGGACTCCATTGTGTGAGGTTTAGACGTGGTGTAAATCTATAGCAACGGTACACTAAGGAGCAAAGGAAAATAGCACACAGAAAAATTTGTAAAAGTTATACATTTAAATGTTATGAAATGAAACCATAGATTTTAAAAAAATACACACACAATATTAATTCATAATTTATAATATAATTTTGCAAAAAATTTGAAATAAAGAAAGAATGCTGAATGTAAGTATATAAAAAAAGGTTTTGTCTATATTGCTGGCCATATTTATCCCATACGTTTCGGCCGTTATACGCTCCAGCCTTCTTCAGGCGGTTGGAATGTCGAAGTGAACACTTTATTTCGCTAGCTGGGGTAGACTGGCTAATTCCACCTGCCATGTTTAATGGATGTCAGTTATCAGTTATCTCCTGTTATTTCCCCTATCCAAGTTCTCCACCGCCTTAATCAGGTATTGAACTCACACTCTTTGGATCCTGTCACTGGATCAATCTAACGCCTTTATCCACTGTGCCATGTGTCTTTGAAATAAAGGTTTCACTTCGACATTCCAACCACCTGAAGAAAGCCGGAGCGTACAACGGCCGAAACTTTGTGATAAATATGGCAAGAAAGATGAGGATGATAATCCTAACAATGTAAATAGTATAAAAAAATGGTTAATATTCATTTATTCAAATAAAAGAAAAAGCTAAAAAGTTAAATTAAAAATATAAAAATACATTTTTAAAAAAAGGAATATTAAAACAAAGTCTTTAAAATAACATAATCAAAGAATACAGAAGAGAATTATTGGGAAAAAAAGTTTAATACTTATTCATTTATTCAAATAATAACGTCGTACAAATTACTACTTACACACATATATATATATATATATATATATATATATATATATATATATATATATATATATATATATATATATATATATATGGTTTGGTTTGGTTTGGTTTTTTGTTTAACGGCATATCAACCTCACTGGGTTATTTAATGCAGACAGCATATTTAGGATAGATTCGTATGAGTATGAATAGAGTATGTAT